AATGTGGTATATATCCAAATGCTGGAGTATTTCTTACTCTACCATGCTACATACAACACAGAATGAACTCAGAAAATACTATGCAAAGTGAAAGAAACCAGACAAAAAGGCTACATATTGCACGATTCCATTTATCTGAAATATCTAAATACTTAAATCAATAGAATCAGAAAGCATATTAGAGATTGCCCAGGACGGGGGAAATAGAGAAGCAGGAGTGATTGCATAATGGCTACAGTGTTTCATTTTCTGTAAAGCTGAAAATGTCCTGGAGCTAGATAGTGGTAATAGTTGCACAGCATTGTGAATGTACTAAACACCATTGAATTGTACATTTTTAAAGTTAAAGTGGTGAATTTCATGTGAATTTTACTACAAAAAAGCAGTAGATACAGTTGATTTTGTTTTTCTAGAAGCACAGGCATAGAAAAAACGTGTAGAGGGGTAAATACCAAATTACTCTTGTTGTCCATGGGTGATCATTTAGGACTAATGTTCTAATATTTCTGCAATAATCCTGGATTCCTGAGTCCTTTTTAAAACATGCAGTAAAATAATGTTTAATGAATAAAGGAGTGTTCATAATATATTCATATATTATCAAACCAAAATGTGTATTTGAATAATCCTAATTTTATTGTAAAAATACACATTTGCAAATGAAAAACCCAACTGGAAGTATATATGCCAACATATTGATGGTTGTATTTCAGTGGAGTGGGGAAATTATAGGTGAATTTTATTTACTTTTTAAAAAACACATTTTCAGAATCCCTTCAGTGAATATATACTACCTTCATAATCTGGGTTTTAAATATTTTATAAAAGTTTTCCTTATATTAAGCCAAAAACTCTTCTTACTTGTTAAATGAAATCTTTAGTTGGGGAAAAATTGAAAGACAGAGTTTTAAAGATAAATAAATCAAAGAATCTGGAAACTATTAAAATGAAGGAGGAAGAGAATATTCAGAGAGACAAGCGTGTGCTTAGAAAAAACATCTTTTGCACAGCTAACAAAGTCAAAGCTGATATTATTATAGGAGAGAAGTAACTTTCAAAAAGGAAAGGGCAAGCAAAGAAATGAGTAGGAGTATGTAACCCAATCATATTAAGAGGTACAGACTAGAGGTTGATTTTGCAACAAGTCATAACAAATAGTGCCAGGGAATTTAAAAAGAACTCAGGGAAGGAATTAGAAAACTGTTGAGCAAACCTGTGACCTCTGACTACAGCTAGCCACTGGGTCACAGGACAGATGAACACAAATGTGGTTTGTGTTCATAAAAAGGCCTTCAGAAGGGGCTTGAGAAAAAAGCAGTTATGAGCAATCATGTAGCATTTATAATAATAGTAATAATAATAATGATACATTCATTTATAATAATGATATTCACAGCACCTTTGTACTATGTACTTGACACTATCTTAAGCACTTACAGTGTTTTAACTCACTTAATCCTCACAAACCCCCTAACAAGCAGGCATGATTATCTTTGTTTTACAAGGCAACTGAAGCACAGGAAGGTTAAGTAATGTCATACTTTACTGCCAACCAGCTAGTAAGTGAAGGAACTGATTTATACCCAGCAGTCCATACTCTAGAGTTCATGCACTTAACCACTATATATACCAGCCCTGTGGCCAGAACATCCCCTCCAGCAGTGGTTCACAAAGGGTAATACTTTCAGGAAGTCCAGGAGATTAAAACTATTTTCATAATAATACTGAGATTTTTTTTTGCCTTTTTCTTTCTCATTCTCTTCTAAGTATATAAAGGAGTTTTCCAGAAGCTACAGAAAGTGTGATTGTATCATCATTTCAATGGCTAATAGAAAATATGTTTGTATAGTCTTGTATTTTCTGGGATTTTCTAAGACAAGTTCTTTGGGGCCTGAAAGCAAAAAGTTTGAGAATCATTGCCCAAAGGTAGAGAACTTGGTTTCTGAATGAACAATCAAAATTATTCATTTATAATTCATTCATTCAATAATTACTAAGCACTACATTCCAGGAACTGTGCCACATGTGGGGAATGCAGTGTTGGACTAGAGTGGCATGGTCCCTTGACTCATGGAGTTTAGTGCAATGGTCGTCAACATTAGGGAGTCCCTTGGTAAATTAATTAAAAATGCAAATTCTGGGGCTCTACCCCAAGAGATGCAGATTCATTTTTTAGAGGATGGGACTCCAGAATTTTCATTTTTGTTTTTGCTTTGTAAGCTGTTAGGTTGATTCTGAAGCAAGAGACCCACTAATCATACATTGAAAAACACTGGTCTAGTGGTTGTTTAGCCTGAAGAGAAAACTAGGAGAAGTGAAAGTGATCACACATATAAAGAATATGGAATATTTAACCTGGATTGGAGTCCAATACACAAATGAAGTGATTTGCCTTACAATGTAGTAAGAAGGGTTTATCCATTGTAAGGAGAGAAGACAGATATGTATAGGCCCAAGTAGTCTGGTAGCTTTATTGAGGAAGGTGAAGTAGTTTTCAACTGAATTCTTCTATTATCTCAGTAAAATAGAAATTATAGTTCATCTGTAAAGTGGTGATAATAAATAGTGTGCTTCTGAGGGCTAATACACATGCATGTAGACCACATACAGTATATAGGCTATGGCTAGGTTTGCTGTACTTAAATCTCTGGGCTAATTGCACAGCAAGAGATCAAACTTGGAAGTAGCTAAATTATATGAAATGCTTCATATGGGTTTCATAACTAAATATCATTGCTTCAGGCTTCATATCTTGGTCCTCTTCTTTATATATACTATTTCCCTAATAATTTCACCCAGTCCCATGACTTCAAACACTCCCTATATACTACTGATCCCATAAATTTGTATTTCCAGACATTTTCTGTCCTGAATCCCAGACTCACATATCACTCCCACTTGGATGTCTAAAAGGGATCTCAAGTGTAGCAGGACCAACACAGAACTTCTAATTCCCACCCTAACAAAACTTCTCCCTCCCTATTTCCCACATCAATGAATGGCACTGGCCCAAAACCTAGAAGTCATCCTTGATTACTTTATTTCCTCCCCTTCCTGATCCAATCCTTCAGAAAGTATCATCTCCTTTGTAACCAAAATATATCCCCAGTCCACTAACCTCTTACACCACAAGTAATCTTCACACTGTGATCATCTCTAGTGTGGTTTATACTAATTACCTCCTAATCCTTTCTTTTCTTCTAGGCTTATTTCCACTAATGGTCAGGGTTTACACATAACAGAAACTAACTGGCTGATTTTAGGGGAAAAAGAAACAATTTGAGGGAATATGGAGGCACCTGGTGTGCAGCATGAGTAGGGTGGACAACAGAATACAGATAAAATCATGCAGTTTGTGCAGTTGTTAGATAGGACACCCAAAGGATACCATCCCTGATGGTCTAGGACGCTGCCACTAGTTTTACTGTGAAGGGGAAGGTAACAAAGGTCTGTCTCAAAGCAACTTTGCAGAAAGGCAAGAGCAGAACTTAAAAGCTTTTCTCCACCTACTCTCTCACTGTTGCCTCTACCCAGAGTGTACCCACCCCCAACTTTTTCTCTCCTCCCTACCCATCTTCTCCCACTGCTTCCCACACACTAGTTCAAGACAGGCTTTAGTTTCACCAGGGGTTTCTCATAGAGATAGTGGTTATGGTGGCTCATTCCTGAATTCTGTGATTCCTGCTTACTTTTTATGTTCTCTAGGATTGATTTTAGAGAAAGAAGCCAGCAACCTGAGCTAATCTGACATTTTAGCGGTTGCTGGTGAATTCTGGTTCTTCACAAGTCCCTGCAATTATTAGAGAGGGTTACTACATTGTTACTGAAAGGAGGGGCTGGCCAAGAGGTATTTTTAACCCCAAATTACGCAACTTACAGAAGTCTGATTTACTTTCATCAATGCAATAATTACAGTCCTGGAAATGGATCAATGCATCGTGGATTAAGATTCATTTTAATAGACTCAGCAAGCGATTGTGTGGTTATTACAAGTCAGGCATGGTGTTATGTGCTGGAAATAAAAATGAAAAGAAACTGTTCCTGCCCTCTAATGGAGGAGACAAATTATTTGATTGTAATGATAATATTATCAGATAACTGCATACCTTAAAAATGGTATGTTATTAGGAGTTTTAGGATTATATTAGGAATATAGGATCCATGGCAAAAGGAGGCTTCACAGAAAGGTGACATTTGAACAGAGAACTTGAAGAATGTGTAGAGTTTTCAAAGAGAGCAAACAGAAGGAATATGTTACAGGTGAAGAGTTCAGTATGAGGCAAAGAAAAAAGGCTTGAAGAAGCATGGTGTACTCTGGGAAATACAAATTGATCAGTATTTCCAGAGCATTAACTGTGAATGGATTCAGGCATTCTAATTCACTGCTAAAAGGTATATATAAATTGGTTCAGCTCTTTAGGAAAGCTATTTAGCAGTAGCTATCAAAACTTAAAAGGCATACACTTTTTGGTCAGGAATTGCTATCTTCCAACATTGTAATAGCAGAAGATTTGGAACAATCTAAATATCCATGAGAGAGGGAGCTGGTAAAATAAAAGATGGGTGAAATAAATATCCAAATCATGGAAAAGAATGCAGTCATAAAGAAGAAACAGGCAGCTCTAGAGGTACTATTACAGACTAGTTTTCAAGACAGTCATTGCTAAATGAAAAAATCAGGGTGCTGAGCATTGTGTATACATTATTGTCATTTTTCAGTGTGTGTTGGTGGGATAATTTACCAAAATGCATAGAATATCTGTGTATGGGTTCACAAGGGACAGGTAAATATCAGGTAAATTTCTAGATCCCTAAAAATAGGAACTAGAGGTCTGGAATGGGAGGCAGATCTAAAATGGCCCCAATCATCTCTGTCCCCTGTTATTTCTGCCCATGTGTAATCCATTCCCCTTCATGTATGGACAGGATCTGGGAATTATTTCTAGACAATAGAATACAACAAAAGTGATGGCTCTCATTTCTGTGATTATGTTAAACAGGATTGTAACTTGCTACAGACTCTACTGAACCTAACCTTTCTGGATTTCATGAAGTTACCCGCCACACAGGCAGGCCCCCAAGTCAGGGAACTGACGATGGGCTTTAGCTGGCAGGCCAAAAGCACAAGGAGCCGAATCCTGCCAACAATGACGTTAGCTTGGAAGTACATCCTTCCCCAGTTGAGCCTCAGACGAGACCACAGACCTGGCTGATGGCTTGATCACAGCCTTGTGAGACCCTGAAGAAGAGGACCGAGATGAGCCCTGCCCAGAATCCTGACACACAGAAAATGAGATAATAAATGTGTATTGTTTTAAGTTTCTAAGTGCATGGTAATTCATTAACATGGCAATAGATAACTAATACAGATCCTGATTTTTTCTTATAATATGTTTTTAATGCTTTTAGCTATGTGCCTGTAAAATTCACCCTAAAATGATAAATACATCAGTTAATTGATAAATAACAAATCAATTAACCAATCAAAATAAATAATCATGAATCGTATCTTAATAATTAATTTATAAAGAGCTAATTATATTGGATGACTTCTGGAAGGTGGCAGGAGAAGCTCTGCAGACCTGCTCCCCAGTGAAACAACCATAACTAGTAAAAATTATAAAACAAACAAACAAACATTTACCATTCCTGGAAATTGTCACAAGGACATACAGCAAATTAAGAACTATTTATTCAAGAAAATCTACTTAAATCATGATAAGAACTAGAGTCCATGGCAGCTGAGCCATGACCTGTTCCTTCCCTAAATCCCCAGCTCAGTGTGATGGAAACTCCATTCCAAGCAGTTTGGCCAATAAAACAGGATCTACCCCCAGATCCCAGTCAAGGGCCATAGTATCTCACCAGGAGGGACAGCTCTCCAATTGCTGTGCTGCAGAGGCTAAATTCCAGGCAAGGGTGGACAAGATATCAAAGGCTCCCTTCTTTCTCCCAGTTTCCACTCATAGAGCAGAGGCATGGCAGGCTGAGAATACTGGGGCCCCAATAACCCTCACCACATTGTGCTCATAGGGTGGTGTCAGGATGGAGTTCCACACCATGAGAGGCAAGCCATAGATTACATCAAGAAGACCCGAGATTACTCTCCTACCAAGTTCCTTGCTCATAAGGCAGGGAAATCATCCCAAGTGTAGCATGCCACTGTCTCCACCCCACTTCTGGAGTAGTGGCTGAGATTTTTCTCAGTGGGAGAGGCAGTTCTTAAGAACAGAGTGCTCCATAGCTGTCCGCAAGTGAACTGACTTTAACTGAAAAAAATTTGGTGGCCATATATGACAAGCCCACAGCTAACATACTCAGTGGTGAAAGGTTGAAAGCTTTTCCTCTAATATCAGGAACAAAACAAGGATGCTCACTCTCACCAGTCCTATTCAACACAATACTGGAAGTCTTAGAGCAAGCAGACAAGAAAAAGAAATACAGGCATTAGAATTGGAAAAGAAGTAAAGTTGTCCCTATTTGCAGGTGATATGATTTTCTGTGTAGAAAACCCTAGCAACTACACACACACACACACACACACACAAACAAAACCTGCTAGGTCTAATGGTGAATTCAGCAAAGTTGTAGGATACAAATTAATAGGCAAAAATCAGAAGTGTTCCTATATACTCACAGTGAATTATCCGAAAAAAATTAAATGATCCCATTTACAATAGCATCAAAGACAATTTTTAAAAATATAAATAAAAGAGTGGGGAACTTTTTTTTTTTTTAGTAAGAAAACATCTTTTATTGTTATTATTCTTTCCTGGTGCTCTTCTTTCCTTTGTGTAGCTCCAGATAGCCAGTTGGTGTCTTTTCTCATTCTGCCTGAAGAGCTTTTTCTCAACATTTCTTGTAATAATGCTGGTCTGCTGGTGATGAAACCTTTCAGCTTTTGCTTGTCTGAAACAGTCTTCACTGTAGAAGTCTACGTTGACAGTATTTTTTTCAGCACTTTATAGATGCTGTTCCACCATCCTCTCTCATCTTGAACATTTTTTAATGAAGAGAAAGCTGCTATAATCCTTGATGCTCTGCGTAACATCTTTTTTAAATAACTGACCTCCCCCATCACTGATTTTGAATAATTAGATTATGATGTGCCTTGGTGTAGTTTTTCTCATGTTTCTTGTGTTTGGGATTTGCTGAGCTACTTGGATCTCTGGGTTTACAGTTTTTATCAGATTTGGCAAGTTTTCATCCATTATTTCTTCAAACAGGTTTTTTCTTTCTGCTCCTCCTTCTCTGGGGATTCCAGTTCACATGTATATTAGGCCACTTGAAGTTGTTTCATAGCTCAGTGATGTTCTGATTTTTTCCAGCCTTTTATTCTCCACTTTGTATTCTGTTAATATGTTTTCAATTTTACTGTTTCCTTCCACAATTTCTAATCTGCTTTTTTTCTTTTTTGACACACAATTGTATATTTTTCCAAAGTCCTTACTATTAACTCCATATCAGAACAAACCACACTGTATGGTAGAGAATTGGAAAAATCCTAATGAAGATTTTTAAAAAATGTATTATCACTTTCAGGAGCTGCCAAGATTATTGTGATGAAAGTTTCCATTATCTTGTATCAGAATACATATTTATTTCTCTTTAACAAGAAAAAGTAGAAACAATGTACCCATATGCATGATTTTGCCTGAGCCATCCCTCAAAACTGGACAAAAAAAAATTCACCTTTTAAAGATTTTAGGGGGAAAAAGACTTTATCTACTCTTCTTGAGTGCACATTATGTTTAATTTTAGGACACAGTTTCTTATATCTTTAACAACTTCTTCTGATGTTAATTGGGGTCCATGTCCAAGAAGTATACTTGAATTGTTTTATCTTATTTTTAAATCAAAATATTTCATTAGATATCACCACTTTCTCATCATATAGCTGATACTAAATACAAAGCATTGTTATATAGCAGGGAAATATCTTTGAATAATAATATACTTTGATTCTAGTTTGGAGTCCTTCAATAAATAGTCGTGAATAACTTTGAGGAACTCCATTAACATCTTCTGCTTCTTTGTACTCATTTATTTAAAACAATGATTTTGAAATATATGTCTCGATTACTTTTTTAGGAAGGATAGGACTCTCATGCCACCATCTTGAATCTTCTCAAGAGTGCGGGGACTCTTAAAGCTGAGAGTCAAAAACAACAGAGATTTAGATTGTAAGCCATTGAAAGGAGGCTGGTGGTTCTATGAAAGGAACAAAAACCATAGGCAAGCTAGTTTACAGAGAGAACCAAGGAAAAAGACAGCTACAAAGAGCCCTGAGAGCAGACCTTAAAGATTGGATTAAAAAACCATCCCCAGGGGAAATGACAGTCTCTTCAACAGACGGTGCTGGCAAAATTGGACAGCTACAGGTAAGAGAATGAAACTGGACCAATGTCTAACCCCATACACAAAAGTAAATTCAAAATGGATCAAAGACATGAATGTAAGTCATGAAACCATAAAACTCTTAGAAAAAAACATATGCCAAAATCTCTTGGGCATAAACATTAGTGACTTCTTCATGAACATATCTCCCTGGGCAAGGAAAACAAAAGCAAAAATGAACAAGTGGGACTACATGAAGCTTAAAAGCTTCTGTACAGCAAAAGACACCATAAATAGAACAAAAACGTACCCTACAGTATGGGAGAATATATTTGTAAAAGACAGATGTGATAAAGGCTTGACATCCAAAATATACAAAGAGCTCACGCACCTCAACAAACAAAAAGCAAATAGTCCAGTTAAAAAATGGGCAGAGGAACTAAACAGACAGTTCTCCAAAAAAGAAATTCAAATGGCCAACAGACACATGAAAAGATGATCCACATCACTAGTTATCAGAGAAATGCAAATTAAAACCACAATGAGATATCACCTCACACCAGTAAGGATGGCTACCATCCAAAAGACAAACAACAACAAATGTTGGCGAGGTTGTGGAGAAAGGGGAACCTTCCTACACTGCTGGTGGGAATGTAAATAAGTTCAACCATTGTGGAAAGCAGTATGGAGGTTCCTCAGAATGCTCAAAATAGACTTACTATTTGACCCAGAAATTCCATTTCTAGGAATTTACCCTAAGAATGCAGCACTCCAGTTTGAAAAAGACAGATGCACTCCTATGTTTATTGCAGCACTATTTACAATAGCCAAGAAATGGAAGCAACCTAAGTGTCCATCAGTAGATGACTGGATAAAGAAGATGTGGTACATATACACAATGGAATATTATTCAGCTATAAGAAGAAAACAAATCCTACCATTTGCAACAACATGGATGGAGCTACAGGGTATTATGCTCAGTGAAATAAGCCAAGCAGAGAAAGAAAAATACCAAGTGATTTCACTCATCTGTGGAGTATAAGAACAAAGGAAAAACTGAAGGAACAAAATAGCAGCAGAATCACAGAACCCAAGAAGGGACTAACAGTTACCAAAGGGAAAGAGACTGGGGGTAGGGAGGGATAAGGGTGGGGAAGAAAAAGGGGGTATTATGATTAGCATGTATAATGTGGGGGGTGAGGGGAAGGGGAGGGCTGTGCAGCACAGAGAAGGCAAGTAGTGATTCTGCAACATTTTGCTATGCTGATGGACAGTGACTGTAATGGGGTTTGTGGGGGGGACTTGGTATAGGGAAGAGCCTAGTAAACATAATATTCTTCATGTAATTGTAGGTTAATGATAACAAAAAAGGGGGGTTACTCCCTGATAGGATAAAATTAACTACAAATCAACTATTAATGCATGCTTTACATATCCTTAATTTTGATATTTTAAAGGGTGTCGGATGATCAGCTATGGAAGTACATTTTTATGATAATATTCCTTTCTCTTAAAAAAAAGCAGTTCCTGTGTGGTGGTCTCTAATAGGTTCTTCACAATAGTATAAAGGTCATATCAAAGTGTGGGCAAAGGGTTTGTTTGTGTTTATACAGAGAATCAAAGCCTAATTTGGCTACCCAGAAAACGAATTAAGATACCATATGAAGAAGAGCTTCCAACATCAACATCCTCTGGAAGAGTCATTCCAGAAGATGATCATCAAAAAACTTCAACAAAGATCCTGGCGCTGTTGCAGTTGTAGCTACATTCATCCTGCTGGTTTCTGGACTTGCCATTAGAATGAAGAAGGAGATATCTAAGCTGGCCTGTGCATATAGTAAAAACAACAAATTTGACTGGATCTATACTGTCGGAACTCAACCAAGAATTAGGAGAAGTGCAAGTTGCAGCACTCCAAAATCTTGCGACTATAGACTATCTACTGTTAAA